TTACACCTTAAGGAACTAGAAAAAGAAAAGCAAACAAAACCTAAACCCAGCAGAAGGATGGAAACAATAAATATTAGATAACAGATAAATGATGTCGAGAATTTTAAAAAATAGAATTGGCCGAGCTTAGTGGCTCACGCCTATAATTACAATACTTCGGGAGGCCGAGGTGGGTAGATCATCTGAGATCAGCAGTTCAAGACCAGCCTGACCAATACGGTGAAACCCTGTCTCTACTAAAAATACAAAAAAGTTAGCTGTGTGTGGTGGCATGTGCCTGTAGTCCCAGCTACTCGGGAGGCAGAGACAGGAGAACTGCTTGAACCCGGGAGGTGGAGGTTGCAGTGAGCCGAGATCGTACCACTGCACTCCAGCCTGGGCGACAGAGGGAGCCTCTCTCAATAAAAAAAAAAAAAAAAAAAAAAGTAGAATTAGTAAAACCAAAGTTGGTTCTTTGAAAAGACCAAAGAAAAAGTAAAACTTTAAGAAAAAGAGAGAAGATGCAAATACCTAAAATCAGAAATAAACACAGAAATATTGCTACTGACCTTACGGAAATTAAGAGGATTATAAGCAAATACTATGAACAATTGTATGCCAACAAATAAGATAATCTGGATGAAATGGAAAAAATTCCTAGAAACACACAAATTATCTAAACTGACTAAAGAAGAAATAAAAAATCTCAACAGACCTATAATAAAAGATAGAATCAGTACTCAAAAATCTCCCAACAGCTGGGCACGATGGCTCATGCCTGTAATCCCAGCACTTTGGAAGCCCAAGGCAGCTGGATCACCTGAGGTCAGGAGTTCAAGACCAGCCTGGCTAACCAATATGGTGAAACCCTGACTCTACTAAAAGTACAAAAATTAGCTTGGCGTGGTGGCTCATGCCTGTAATCCCAGCTACTTGAGAGGCTGAGGTGGGAGAATCGCTTGAACCAGGGAGGCAGAGATTGTACTACTGCACTCCAGTCTGGGCGACAGAGTGAGACTCCTCAAGAAAAAAAAAGAAAAGAAAAAAAAGAATGGATACCAACCCTACACAACCTCTTGCAAAAATTGAAGAGGATCCACTTCCTAACACATTCTATTAGGCCAGCATTACCTTGATACCAAAGCCAGAGAAAGAGTCCACAAGAAAACTATAGACCAATATTCCTTATGAATATAGATTCAAAAATCCTCAACAAGCACCTATAGTCCTAGCTACTCAGGAGCCTGAGGCAGCAGAATCCCTCGAGCCCAGAAGTTCGAGGCTGCAGTGAGCTATGATTGTGCCAGTGTACTCCAGCCTGGGCGACAGAGTGAGACACTGTCTGCAATCAACCAATCAATCAATCAATCGATCAATCAAATAAAAAATTTTTTAGCCACGCGTGGTGGCCCATGCCACTTGGGACATTGAGCCAAGACAGTTGCTTGAGGCTGGATGTGGTGCCTCATGCTTGTAATCCCAGCACTTTGCCAGGCTGAGAGGGAGGATCACTTGAGCCCAGGAGTTTAAGACCAGCCTGGGCAACATGGTGAGACCCCATCTCTACAGAAAATACAAAAAAATTAGCTGGGCATCGTGGTATGCGCCTGTAGTCCCAGCTACTCGGGAGACTGAGGTGGAAGGATCACTTGAGCCCAGACTGAGGTGGAAGGATCACTTGAGGCTGCAGTTAGCCGTGAGAGCGCCACTGCACTACAGCTTGGGCAAAAGAGTGAGACCCTGCCTTAAAAAAACAAAAAACAAAACAAAACAAAAAGCCCTCAACCAACTACTAGTAAACTAGTATAAAACGCCTGTAATCCTAGCACTTTGGGAGGCCGAGGCGGGAGGATCACGAGGTCAGGAGATCGAGACCATGGTGAAACCCCGTCTCTACTAAAAATACGAAAAATTAGCCGGATGCGGTGGCGGGCGCCTGTAGTCCCAGCTACTCAGGAGGCTGAGGCAGGAGAATGGCGTGAACTCGGGAGGCGGAGCTTGCAGTGAACAGAGATCCCGCCACTGCACTCCAGCCTGGGCGACAGAACAAGACTCCGTCTCCAAAAAAAAAAAAAAAAAATCCAATAGCATATCAAAAAGGATTATATACCATGACCAAAGATTTATCCTAGGAATGTAAGGGTAGTTCACCAGAAAATCAATGTCATACACCACATTAATAGGACAGTGAGACAATAGCATATCCCATGTATGTTATTTCTTTCAATCTACTAATAATCTTTATGAGGTAGCTGTCATTATCTCCATTTTGAAGCTAGGGACACTGAGATTAAGGTACTAAGTGACTGGAGGCTCCAAGGGTAGTGAGTAGTGGGGTCAGGGTACTCCATGCCAACCTGGCAAGGGTGAGCGCAGGCAGTGTGACGGTGGGAAACAAGACTGTCCACATGATCATCTCTTTTTTAATAAAAATATTATATTATTTATGTTTGAGACAAAATCTCGCCTGTCGCCCAGGCTGGAGTGCAGTGGGATGATGTAGCATGATCATGGCTCACTGCAGCATCAGCTTCCTGGGCTCAAGTGATCCTCCCGCCTCAGCCTGCTAAGTAGCTGAGACTACAAGTGCACACCACCATGCCCAGCTAACTTTTTTAAAAAAATGTTTTGTAGAGATAGGGGGTCTCACTATGTTGCTCAGGCTGATCTTGAACTTGGGCTCAAGCAATCCTCCAGCCTTGGCCTCCCAAACTGCTGGGATTACATGCGTGGGTCACTGTGCCAGCCATGATCATCTCAATGGATGCCAAAAAATGCATTTGACCATTCAACACCCTTTTATGATTGAAAAATCAGCAAACAAGGAATAAAAGGATTTCAGCAAATGGTGTTGAATAATTGGATATCTACATGGAAAAAAATCAATTTGGCTCTATACCTCACAACATATACAACATTTATTATGTATGATTCCATTTATAGAAAACTCTAGAACTTGCAAACTCATGTAATGTGACAGAAAGCAGATTAGTGTTTGCCTGGGGTTAGGGGGCCAAGGGCCAGGGGAGAGGGCACAAAGGGGCACAAAGAAACTTTTGGCAGTGATGGATATGTACATTATCTTGGTTGCAGTGATAGTTTCATAGGCAAACATGTCATGACCTTTCAAATTATGCATTTTAAATATGTGCAGCTTATTGTATGTTAATTATAGCTCTATAGCTCAATACTTTTTTTTTTTTTTTTTGAGATGGAGTCTCACTCTGTTGCCCAGGCTGGAGCGCAGTCATACAATCTTGGCTCACTGCAACCTCTGCCTCCTGGGTTCAAGCGATTCTCCTGCCTCAGCCTCCCGAGTAGCTAGGATTACAGGCGTTAGCCACCATGCCTGGCTAAAATTTTGTGTTTTTTAGTAGAGATGGTTTCACCATGTTGGCCAGGTTGGTCTCGAACTCCTGACCTTGTGATCCACCCGCCTTGGCCTCCCAAAGTACTGGGATTACAGGCGTGAGCCACCGTGCCCGGCCTCAATACAACTTTTAAAAAAATGTGATAAAGAGGTCGGGAGCAGTGGCTCACACCTGTAATCCTAGCTCTTTGGGAGGCCAAGGCAGGCAGATCATCTGAGGTCAGGAGTTCGAGATCAGCCTGGCCAACATGGTGAAACCCCCTCTCCACGAAAAATACAAAAGTTAGCTGGGTGTGGTGGCGGGCACCTGTAATCCCAGCTACTCAGGAGGCTGAGGCAGGAGAATCACTTGAACCTGGGAGGTGGAGGTTGCAGTGAGCCGAGATCGTGCCATTGCACTCCAGCCTGGGTGACAAGAGCAAAACTCTGTCTCAAAAAAAAAATAATAATAATAATAAAGAATGCCTTTTAAAGTCGGGTGGGGTGGCTCATGCCTATAATTCCATTATTTTGTGACACCAAGCAAGAGGACTGCCTGAGCTAGGAAACAGGAGATTAACCCGGGCAAAATAGTGACACCCCCCATCTCCACTTAAAAAAAAAAAAAAAATTAGCTGAGCGCGGTGACGTGTGCCTTTAGTCCCAGCTGGTCTCAAAATCCTGGGCTCAAGCAATTCTCTTGCCTTGGCCTCCCAAAGTGCTAGAATGAGGCACTGTGCCTGTCCTAAAATTATTTTAAATTTATTTTGAATATTTTAATTAATTAATTTTTTTTTTTTTTTTTTTTTTTGAGACGGAGTCTCGCTCTGTTGCCCAGGCTGGAGTGCAGTGGCCGGATCTCAGCTCACTGCAAGCTCCGCCTCCCGGGTTCACGCCATTCTCCTGCCTCAGCCTCCCGAGTAGCTGGGACTACAGGCGCCCACCACCTCGCCCGGCTAGTTTTTTGTATTTTTTTAGTAGAGACGGGGTTTCACCGTGTTAGCCAGGATGGTCTCGATCTCCCGACCTCGTGATCCGCCCGTCTCGGCCTCCCAAAGTGCTGGGATTACAGGCTTGAGCCACCGCGTCCGGCCTAATTAATTAATTTTAATTAAAAAATTTTTTTTAGAGACAGGGTCTCATTTTGTCACCCAGTGGCACCATCATAGCTTACCGCAGCCTCGAACTCCTGGGCTCAAGGGATCTTCCTGCCTCAGCCTCCCAAGTAGCTGGGATTACAGGCCCGTACCACCATGCCTGGCCAGGTTTTTATTTTTAGTAGAAAAGGAGTCTCAGTTTGTTGCCCAGGGTGGTCTTTAACTCCTGGGCTCCAGCCGTCCTCCCACCTCGGCCTCCCAAAGTGCTAGGACTGCAGGTGTGAGCCACTGAGCCTGGCCAAAAAAATTGTTTCTTAAAGAGTCTTTTAAAAATTAAATAGTGGAATGAATGACTGACGACTCCACAGACCAAGCTCCAAGGACTGGGAAGGGGCGGACACAGTAAGGAAGAAGAGCTGAGGCTGCCCGCGGACTCTTCCTGCCTGCCATTTTGTTGCACAGGCCCAGCCTTGCCAGGCCAGCCCACGGTGTCCTGACCCCAGGGGCGCCTCCTTCCAGGCTTTTCCCTACACTGACTCACTTCTTTGTGAAATCACTTGGTGTTCCTTGTGCAGCCCGTGTTTTCCCACTTTCCTGCCTTCGCTCGAGCGGTTTTCCCACCATCTCAGCCAGTAAGAAGCCTGTTGGTCTCCTGTGGGAGGCTGGACCTGGGGCCAGGTCGGCCTTGGGCTCCCACCCCACTCTGAGGTAAGGGGTCAGCGGGGCTGGGCAGGGCCCAGGCTAGGGGGAGGGAGGAAGAGGTGCCCATGCCGGGCCTGCATACCCGCAAGGGACAAGTGAGCAGGGACTGAGTGAGTCCTGAAGATTTAACGGAGAGAACCCCTCACTGACCAGCCCCTGAGAACACCAGAGGCCTGACTTGCAAGATATTTGTTCTCCGTCCCCAGCTTCCTTCACCTTCCCAACCTGCTCCACATTCAACTGATTTTCCCTCCTGTCCTCCAGCTCCCTGCAGGCTTCAGCTGCCTCTGCAGCGAGGCGGGGATGGAAGTACCTGCCCCTCAAGGTAGATGTGAAGGTCTGGGTCCTGGGCCTGTGCAGGTAGTAGGTGTTCAAGGAATGGTCTGAATTGATGGGAGAGTGTTTTATAAGTTGAAAAACATTAGAAAATAATATTAGTTCTTATAATTGGTCCACTCAACTTCCTCAGATGGAGTTTGCCCCAAGCAAAACAAATTTTCCTCAACTCCACCCCATAAACTGCAAGCCCCCAAAACTTCCCCTCTTCTTCTCCTCCTTTCCAGGCTCACCCAAACTTGGCTTCCTCTGCCCGGGCACAAGCCTGGCAGGAAGTGACCAGCCTCCCATTAGCTCTTGCCCCAGGTCTGGGAGAGTTCACAGGCTGCTGAGCTGAGCTAAGAGGAGCAGCAGGAACTGAGGGTTTCCTTATCCTAGAAAAGCACCTCTTCTTCCTACTCCCTTGCCCTCCAGACTCAAGGCAGGAAGAGAAACCTGGGGAAGGGGCCTCAGAGGAGAAGCCTCCATCGCGTGTTTGTTCTGACTGGTCAGTGAGTGCCACACTATTTGAATGTCACCCTTGCCCCAAAGGGAAGAGCCTCTTTACCTGGCTCTCCCCACCTCCTCCACCTGCTCCAAACGTCTCTGGCACCGGGTCCCAGGGAACCTTGCATTTGCTTCCAGGGTTTGGGGGAAGTGAAGGGGTATGTGGAGGGAGGGGGTTGAGGGGACCCGGTGACACTAGCACACATTTCTTGTGCGGCAGACATCCCCAAAATGTCATTTGGCTCTTTGCTTGTTCCAACCCATATTTCATTTCCAGGGTACCTGCTCTGCATCACTTAGCTGGATACCACAATGGAGAAATCTCTTTCCTTCCTTCAGAAGGCACCTTCAGAACAGGGGCATGTCCAAGCAGACACACAGTCCAGCATAGGAAGAAGTATCTCAGAGATCTTTCCCAAAGGAGGGTACAGAACATGTGAATTGTGAAACAGTGTGATGGTGTAGCATGCATTTGGAGAACTGTAAGAAGTTCTATGAGGCCAGGGGAAAACAAGGATGAGACAGTGGCAAGAAATTAGTCTGGTGAGGTGGGCAGGGGCCAACTCACAAAAGGTATTGGGTACTAATCTAAGGAGGTGGAACCTCACCTAAAAGCTATGGGTAGGAAGAGAACAAGAAATATTGCCAAGGACACCACAGGATTTGGGGGCCAGTGGTCAGATGAGAACTGATAAGTGACCTTTGGACTTGTCAATGTGATAGTCACTGGCTATTGATGGGAAGCACTGGAGGTGGAGTGGAGGGGAGACATGAACCCATAGTGACCCCATGGTATATATGGTTTTCTCTGGGCAGGCTCAGCTCTCACATAGGAGGGGATGAAAATGGATGGATTATCCCAGCACTTTGGGAGGCCGAGGTGGGCGGATCATGAGGTCAAGAGATCAAAACCATCCTGGCCAACATGGTGAAAGCCTGTCTCCACTAAAAATACAAAAATTAGCTGGCTGTGGTGGCATGCGCCCGTAGTCCCAGCTACTCAGGAGGCTGAGGCAGGAGAACTGCTTGAACCCAGGAGGAGGAGATGCAGTAAGCCAAGATTGCGCCACTACCCTCCAGCCTGGTGACAGAGCGAGACTTCATCTCAGAAAAAAATAAAATAAAATAAAATAAGATGGATTAATTCAGGTCTGGGATTCTGAGGGAGACTACACTGGAAGAACATGGGGACAAGAAAGATGGAGTAATTAATGGTGAATGAGTGATGAAGTCACGGGCATGGGTCTTGATGTGGCACTGGCTGATAGAGTTTGGTGGCCAGAGTGGGATAACCCTTTTTTTGGAGACAGAATCTCACTCTGGCTTCCAGGCTGGAGTGCAGTGGTGCGATCTTGGCTCACTGCAACCTCCGCCTCCTGGGTTCAAGCAATTCTCGTGTCTCAGCCTCCCGAGTAGCTGAGATTACAGGCATGCACCACCACACCCTGCTAATTTTTTTGTATTTTTAGTAGAGATGGGATTTTGCCATGTTGGCCAAGCTGGTCTCAAACTCCCAAGCTCAAATGATCCACCTGCCTTGGCCTCCTGAAGTGCTGGGATTACAGGTGTGAGCCACCATGCCCAGCCAGGATAACCATTTTTTAAAAAAGATTTTCATGTCAATAGAAACAGAGCAGCTATTTACAGCATGGCCAGTGATCTGTATTTTTCACTTAGAGTTCCAAACTAGAATACTAGTGAAATCCCTTCTCATTGTGTCTATTTCTAAATCTGTGAAACAGAGGATTGGACTAGATGATCCCTAAAATCCTTCCTGCTCTATCATGCAAGGATTCACTGCTATTGCTTTATCTGCATCCTCTTCACACCTACCTAAGCATAATGACCACCCATCTGCCCTCAATAGATGTTTGTGGAGTACCTGATGGTCTCTCTCACACAAGAACCCTGTCAGCATCTAGGCCCATCACCAGTGCCTGTTTATTGAGTGATGGCGATGTCATGAGGAAGTCCCTCCCTCTGCCTCCCTTGCAACCCTTCCTGTGAGGTGTGTAGGGACCAGGTGCACATCCAGCCCTCATTCGCCCCTCCCCACCTTCAATTTATCCTTGCCCTGGTCCTTCTTACAGTCTGAAGTGACCAAGAAAGAACTGCCAAGTGGGCAGGTTCTGGCGAGCCAGACCCCCATGTTGAACTGCAGTTCTTCTATTACCTTGGATATGTTACTTAACTTCCACATTTTCTCCTAAACGTTTTTATGAGTCTTTTTTCATATTCGTGAATTTATTTTCATATGGTGTGTGAGGTAGGGATTTTTTTTTTTTTTAGATGGAGTCTTGCTCTGTTGCCCAGGTTAGAGTGCAGTGGCGTGATCTCGGCTCACTGCAACCTCCGCCTTCCAGGTTCAAGCGATTCTCCTGCCTCAGTCTCATGAGTAGCTGGAATTACAGGCACCCACCACCATGCCCAGCTAATTTTTGTATTTTTCGTAGAGATGGGGTTTAACCATGTTGGCCGGGCTGCTCTTGAATTCCTGACCTCAGGTGATCTGGCCTCCCAAAGTGCTAGGATTACAGGCGTGAGCCACTGTGCCTTTTTTTTTTTTGTCAGGTCTCCCTCTGTGTCCTAGGCTGGAGTGCACTAGTGCAATCATAGCTCACTGTAGCCCCCTGCTTCTGGGCCCAAGCAATCCTCCTGCCTCTGCCTCCCAAAGCACTGGGATTACGGGTGTGAGCCACTGTGCCTGGCTGCTATATCATTTTTTCCTGTTTGGTTAATTGATAGTCCCAACACCACTTGCTAAAGATCTCTTCCTTTCCCCACTCAGGTGCATGGTTCCTCTGGCTCCTACCATATTCCCATGTATGCACAGGTCTGTGTTTTGGTCCCCTGCTCACTTTTATTGTCTAATTCACTTCTATTTCTATCCAGCTATTCCATTTATCACATTTAGTTACTGTACCTTTATATTAAGTCTTGATACTGATTGAACATAGGACTTCCATTGTAGTCCTGTGTTTTCCCTGGCAGTTTCTCCAAATTGTCTTAAGACATCCTTGGTGCTTTACCCTGTGGTTTTTAGACAAGTTTGTCTAGGTCTTTTAGAAAACAGTTAGCTTCCCTAAGCCTCCATTTCCTTTACCATGACCTATGCCTCATAGGACTGCAAAGACTTAAGTGTAAAACAGTGAACACCACCTGGCCAGGAACACAAGAAACACTGAGTAGATAGTATCATCTTCCCCAAATGCCCAACCTGATGTAGTCACTGTTCTGTTAAAAACATTGTTGGCTTCCCAGGCATGCAGAGTAAAGTTCAAACACAGCCTGCTAAGCCACCTGACCCCAGCTAACCTTTCCCATGGCACCACCTGCCTCTCCCTCCTCCCTGCCCACTATCCCTATCATGTTCCCTGAACACAGTGCTCTGCCCTCGAACATGCTGTCCCTTCACGCTGGGATCCCACGCATCCCTCATGGATCCTCTCAGACGATGCCTCCTTTGAGGAGTTAGGCACTCCCTCGGGCTTCTTGTATTGCATGTATCGCTTTGCATTGTGATTACTTGCGTCTGTTGTGACTTTGTGTCTTATTTAGTGAACTCAGCACAGGCCTTGGCATTTCCAAAGAGGTGCCACCATTTGATAATCACACCCTGACTTTGGTGTCACACACACTCCTTCACTTATTTAACACAATAATCCTGTGAAGTAGACTTCTCCCCCACTGAACAGGAGGGAGCAGGGATGGTAATTTGTTCAAGATCAAAGAGCTTGTCAGCAGAGGAGCAGAGACCTGCATCCTGGGCTAATTCCCAACATTTGTATCTTCTATTACAGCAGGTAGCCTTTGGATGACTGTCCTTCTTCCCTTTTCTCAATTTCTTATCTCCATCTCATCCTTCCATGGTCCTCCCACCTGAGCTCTCTCTGATATTGGTCCTTTCTACTTCATCCCCCCACGAGACTTTTCCCAGGTTGTCACCTCTCCCATTTCATGCCATCTGTCACCCAAGCAGGTGCCTCTGTGAGGACTGTGTGTCCTAGGTTTAGCACATTGCTGGTATTCAGAACATAGAACATGGAACCTCATGGCTACATCCTCAGATGTTGAGATGTTAGCTTGGTGTCACAAGATCAAGGATATAAAATAAACCCTTCACAGCCTCAATCTGTTGGAAACCAGAAAGCAAGCAAAGCCATGGCTTGTAACACCAGGCTTTCTTGGAACAGTTATCAGGTGTCCAGAGATGGAAGCCACCCCGACTAGGGATGAGCAGTTATTCTACCAACTCAAACTGGCCTAGACTAGGTCAGTGCTACCACCCGGCATGTCAACAAAGGATGGAGGAAGTGCAATGCTGGTCCCCACAATGACAGGAGCTGCAATGGTGTCCTCAGGGCTGATTTTTCTCTCTCCACCCATGTCCGAAGTTTTGGGGTGTCTCTTTAGAGTTCTTTCTCTCTAGCCACAAGTCCTGCAGGCCATTGGAAGACTAGGCTGCAGAAAGGTAATCCTGAACTTTGCAATTTACCCTCTGCAAATGAAATAGAATCATGTAGTAAATGTGATGATGGATCAGCTTTAGAATGGTCCATAATGATCTGACATGGGCGAGTGGGGAGTTTCCAGAACACTCAAATCCCAATTAGAGGTGGCCAGTTGGTGGTTTCCTGAGTACATCACCTGTATCAGCATGTATGAGCTCATAGCCTCATCATACACACTAAATCTGGCAAAAGGAAGAATCCTTTGATGGAGGAATGAAGGGTGATCATCATGGAATGGACAAAGGAAGCCTGCAGAATCAGAATTTTAGGGGGAGAGTTCTCTGACCAACTGAAAGGGAATTCGTCCTGTGGTAGAATGGTCAACAGGTTATTATTATTGCTCAGTAACCCACTTTCTGCCTAGTTTTGGCCTCCCATACAGCCAGCCAGTACACAAACCAGGTAACTTTGATGTCTACCATCATATAAATGAACCGATTAGCACCTGGGCATATACATTAGTCTCTTACGAGTTAGATTTGTGTGAGTCTTGTTCCTGGAAGCGACTCTCTTCCACTGACCCCATCAGGTTTCTTGGCTTAAAATACTTGACCAGTGGTGATGCCAACAAAGTCCCATCCTAGAGAAGCCAGCTTGTCTTGGCGGATGGGTGTTTCTCTGTGATATGCTGTTCATTCTTGTTTCTATATCCCCCACTGCATTTCCAGTGCACTCCTTGCATGGTATCACAACGGCTTCCAGACTGTTCCACTCCAAACTCTCCTGCTGGCTCCTCCTCAGACATGGTTGATACCACATGACTGCCCTGTTCAGGAACACGCCCATGCATAAAACCAAACTCTCTGGACTGGCTTCTGTGGTTTTCCATAATTTGATCTCATCAGACTTTATTTTCCATTACAGCTCAAACTGTTCCTTCCATTTTGGGACCAGGGGACAGAGCTCACTTAATGCTGCTCTCCCACTGAAGACACTCACCCATTCTCTGCCTGCAAGCCCTACCACTACACAACTTCAAAAATGGCTCCACCCTTCCTGATTCCACCCCACACAGAGGAAGGCAACTTCTTGCGACGCTTCCTTATTCTGAAAGTGGCTCACCTCTTTCCCCTTCCAGCTCCTTTGTGCCCCCTAGAAAGCCTCCCTGGCTAAGGGGGACAGGCCCTCTCCTCAGCACTGGGCACTGACCGTCTAACCAGGGCTCTCTCTGGGCACCTGGTTGCAAGGATGGCAAGATACAACAACATGCTGATTTTAATAGCCTCTGGCTTCTCCACTGCATTTCTCACCTGAATGCCCTGCACACCAAATCTTCCATGGGATCACCCTTGACCTCTAGGGCAATTCCCAAGAATCCAGCAGAGGAGTGGGGGAAACCAAAAGACTGACATGAAGGACTCAAGGGAAACCTCTGGAAAGAAGACACCAGACACTAAAAGGGATATGTGTGAAATACTGGTTTTTATTGGTTGGCACAAGATTACAATCTACAGTTTCAATGCCCTTCCCTCCCACACAGCTCAAATGGAAGGAAACTGATTAACACATAGAAAGGAATGGCAGGCTCACAGGTTTAAGCATTTGTTTTTACAAAAAGGAGTGGGATATGGGGGTGGTCAAGTTTTACGGGTAGTAACAACATTCTCTCCAGATGGCAGGGGGTAAGTCTGCCTGTCCTCCGTTGCTGATACCACATAAGGGACATATTAGTAAAGTAGGGAAAGGGTTATATGTGTGGCTGGCCTGTTCTTAAGAGAGGAAGGTGGGATAGTATCTGCTGTGTGCCTGTCTCAGACCAAACCTGGGGCTGAACCAGTGCCCCTTTCTTCTGGGCCCTCCTCCACAACCTGACTGTACTGCCAGCCGCACCCATGGGAAGGAGGTGTGAAGGAAGCCTGAGAACATCTGCCTCGAGAAAAGGAAACAGGAAAACTATTTCCTTCCGCCTTCTCTGGACCAAATTCCACTCCCCTCAGCTCCAGAGAACGCTGCAAAAATCTTCCTTAGGAACGCTGTGAAGACACGGGGAAGAGGCCAGCCCAGACAGGTGGTCCTGAGCGGGCAAGAAGAAAAGCTTGAACTTTCCATGCAGTACCAAGCAAGATTGTTTTGGAAACACGCAAACAAAAAATGGAAACCAACACCATATACCCACAGGTTGGGTAGCTCCCAAATCCTGGACAGCATTTGGATTGGAGGTAAGGACAATTTTACTCCAGCTCCTTGTTTTATAACCCACACCAGGTGCCAAGAGGTTTAAGGACCAAAACTGACCTCTCTTTCCCTACAAGCACCATTCCTTGGATTCCCAGTTTTGTTGAGCTCATTTGGGGTCATCCTTGCCATCCTCTTCAAAAATGACGCAGCCTCTTGGTGGTTCCATTTTCTATCCCTTTCTACAATTATGAACACACTGTCTAAACAGGAGATCTATATATGCTGTCATCCTGCAGCCCAAGAGATTAGGTGATCGAATGATGAGAAGGCCAACTTACTTGCTTTCCTGGGTGGTCCTGAGGGAAATGAACAGCAGCAGAGTTCTGGTGGGACAGAGCAGTCTAGTCTGAGCCACTGTGTGATTCCCCAGGGGACTGGTCCCTGGGTACATGGGTCCCTGGCTCTGTCTCAGTTCCAGAGACATTACTCAACTTGGCCTTTTAAGCCTCAGCTAAAACATATGAGCATGAGGGAAAAGGGACAAGAAATACTTTTGTCCTCTGGAAAAACGTAAACTCAATACATTTTGGCTACTTAGGCTCAAGTCACAGGGTTCCCTGGAAACACTTGTTGAACCTGGCCAAGAGGAGACTGTATATGGATGGCACACCTGGAAAAGGGGAGAAAGCACACTAGTTCATCTCTTTTATAAGTGGAATGGTCCCAGGGATGTTAACCTTTCTGATGCTGATGGTAGATGAGTGGAGTGGAGGTAATCCTGTGAGAAAACTCCTTAAAAACCCTTAAGCTGTGTGGAGACTACACATCACAGCTGAGCAAACCAAGGTGGGGCCTCACTGCCACCTCAGAGCCCATCCCTGACCACATCATTGGACAGGATGGAAGACAAAGTCTTTGAAATGGAGGCTGGGCTGGCAAAAGTAAGTATGAAGATGCTACTACTGTCCTTCCACTTCCTCTCTCTGATACACCTAAGAAGGTGAGAGACACTTACTTCAATTCCATTTTACAACAGTTCTCAACATCCTGAAATACTCTTGATTTCCTTAATTAAGCACAGGGAAAACTGGTAAGCTATCTTTCTAACTGAAATTTTACTTATTCTAACCACCAACCTTTTCTTTGATTATCAACCAGTTTGATAGTCTTCAGATCATAAAACAATAGAACAGACCTGACATTTACAAAACTGTACTATTTACTTCTTTTACAGTAGAGTTGACCAATCACTTTTCTAACTATTAATGCAACACCATGCCACTGGGCCCTAGACTCTGATGTTTCTGATCCCTGAGCAACACATCTATGTCCATTCACAGATGGAAGTGAAAGGGTGAGATTCTCAGAGTCTAAACAAAATTCTGGTAGCAAATTGGATTTCTGAAGGGAGAGTCCTCTTAGAAAATTCTGAGCAAAAATGCTCTCAGTCACCAGGGACGGGGTGAGCGGGCAGGTTTCAGTCTGTGAGCTATATAGCTTAGGTACCTGTTACTCCCTTCTGAACTCCATGTTCTTGGGAGGACACAAGCCTCTTGTTCATTAAGCAAAGGCCCTCCAAGTCTCCTTTTTACTTCAGCACTTTGGAAACTCTCCAAGACTTAACTTCAGATCTGGGGAGGTTCTATGTAGAACAGACCTATCCCTTCTTATTCCTGCTCCTGGGTGTCTCCATAATCAGCCTCTACCTTCCCTGGCATAAGTCGTATCTGTTATGCTGCAGGAACTGAGCAACCAAAGCTAGATATCCTTTGGACCACTGATTAGTGACACATTTTCTCCACAACAAAGGGAGGTTAAAGACCAAGGTTTAACCTGAGAAACTTTTTTTTTTGGCAAGACAATAAAGAGGTTAAAGAGGCTATGTGGATCTGTCACTGCTTTAGCTTACCATTTTCAATTTAGCACCAAAGTGCTCAGGAAGACAGGCTCAGATCAGGACAACTTCTTAAAAGGGATTCACAGGCAATCTTACTGGCAAAATGATTTTCCAAAGCTGAGCCACTTGCCCCACCCTACAGGGAGGGGAGTAGTCTTAAGGCCCAGCATTGGCATTGAGGCATCTTGCTTTTTTCCCTCAGAATTCCACAAAGGCTTAAGAGTGATCTAAATGCCTGGCTGGAAGCTCAAGTCTAGGAGAGCTAATTTACTGCACTGTTGAGATATTCTCTGCAAGGTAGTCACAGATAATAAGCAATTTAGTAGATAATTAATCCAGACAAGAATTAATGTTCTCTGAATCAGTGATTAATATAATCTTCACATCTGGCCTGGCTGGGAGGCTTGGGGGCAGGAAAGGGAGGGTGGAAGAATGGGTAGCACATCAAAATGGTGAACAAAATGACAATGCTGCTGTTTGTGTATCCTTTAAAGCCTCTATCCAGGGTTTTAAATGGCGTTTTGTCTGCTTCCTGATAGGAAGTCAAATAAGTTTTAGTAGTAAGAACTGGGGATAAAAACGAAAGGAAACCTAGAGTTATTAAACAACTGACTGCTGGAGGAACAGAAGCAATGACTTCTACCTTCTAGGTAGTAATCTTACTTTTTTTTTTTTTTTTTTGAGACGGAGTCTCGCTCTGTCGCCCAGGGTGGAGTGCAGTGGCGCGATCTCGGCTCATTGCAAGCTCCGCCTCCCGGGTTCACGCCATTCTCCTGCCTCAGCCTCCCGAGTAGCTGGGACTACAGGCGCCCACAACCGCGCCCGGCTAATTTTTTGTATTTTTAGTAGAGACGGGGTTTCACCGTGGTCTCGATCTCCTGACCTTGTGATCCGCCCGCCTCGGCCTCCCAAAGTGCTGGGATTACAGGCGTGAGCCACCGCGCCCGGCCCCGTAATCTTACTTTTTTGGCTAAAAGCACTTTCTTCAGCATTCTGAGTTAACATGGGTTCCCTATAAGCTCCCCTCCCCAGGTGGACAGTCTTATTTTCTAAGACAAGCTCAAACTCACCAAATTATCACCGTAAACAAAGCTTCAGGGAAGAGACATAACTCTTACTTCAAAAGCTTCAGGTCAGAGACAGCCAAAATCACATGACTGCTAGCCTCAGCTCAAGTAGTGTGCCCAAATCATCACAAAATGGGATTCTCTTCCTATTAATTTTTTTTTTTTTTTTTTTGAGACAGAGTCTTGCTCTGTCGCCTAGGCTGGAGTGCAGTGGCGGGATCTCGGCTCACTGCAACATCTGCCTCCCAGGTTCAAGCGATTCTCCTGCCTCAGCCTCCCGAGTAGCTGGGACTATAGGAGTGTGTCACCACGCCTGGCTAATTTTGCTATTTTTAGTAGAGACGGGGTTTCACCATACTGGTCAGGCTGGTCTTGAACTCCTGACCTCGTGATCCACCCGCCTTGGCCTCCCAAAGTGCTGGGATTACAGGCGTGAACCACCGTGCCTGGTCCTCCATTTATTAATTTATAAGGGGACTAGGAGGACAAACTATTTGATTAATTTGAAGGTGAGAGGTATCATTTTCTCAGATGCTCCAACTAGGCTTCTCACATCCCTCAAAGGTTATCAGCTAAAGACAAGAGTTTCTGAGGCTAATGCAAAAACATGGTCAAATGTGAAACCACCCTTTTAGAGGCAGGGTTTGTGAAAGGCTGCTGGCCTCCAAAGGACAGCATGCCTAAACTCTCTGGGCTCCCAGGACCTGTGGTGATCTCAAGTCAACCTGATGCACAGATAACAGTATCTTTTAGGGATTGCAGCCAATGCTCCCCAATTCACTTTTTTTTGTTTTAATACCTTAAAATATCAAGTGTTTCCTTTTTAGGTGATATTCCAAGTGACACAGAAACACAGCTCTCCTGGATGGTGAAGTCTCCGCTGCAAAACTCACCAAACAGCACAGAGGATGACTCTGGGGTCCTCTCCCACTTGCTCCAAGTTAGGTGGGTGCCCTGATGAAGGCAAGGCTGAGTCACTAACATGCACAGCTCCACATCCTGGAAGCCTCTGCAGCCTCGAGGAGACAGGCTCTATCCAACAGGACTCCGAATAAATGCCTGCCGCCTCAACTGGGCAGTCTGACCTCTTCCACCGTCTTTAAGAAACAGAAGGGCCATCTGCATTATTTAATCACCGTTCAATAATGTCCTCCCTCCCCATAGCTGCTTGAGTTAACTGTCTCACAAGTGTCCTATGTTTTGTAAAGATGAGGGTTATTTTCTGAAATGCAGATGAGACTAGGATAAAGCTGTATTATCAATTACAGCCAACTCTCATTTCTCTTAAAGCAAAAATTCATCCCACTGTGATTTCTCCAGGTATTTCCTTTAATTCTAAATCCACCCTTGATATTAGAGAATATTAAAATCACACAGTTGTGGCAAAAATCACAATGTGGCTATTAAATCCTTTTTTGTGAACTAAAAAATGTGCATGTGGCTTAGGCTCAGCTGTTTTGTTTTGTTTTTTTTTTTAAAGATGAGGATGGGGACTCCAACAAAGGCATTAAGAAAGTACTAGATGAAATGAGAAATAGGTGAAGGATAACATGTGAAACGTACACTCAGGTCTAACAAGTACCTATTACTTCTCTGGTTAAGAAGGTTTAGCAGGAGCCCCCAATGAGCACTGTATGTAGAGAAAAGGGAAGGAGCAGGGGGAGGAACGGATTGGCACAGAATTTTTTTCTTCTTTTAAAAACCACAGAGGGTGACTTTTTTCTTCTAAGCAAGCAAGCCTAAGAGACAATACATGGGCTGGCTCCTAATATCAAAACAAAATATTTCTTTGCCACAAAGGAACTTGACTATGTAGCAACACATTTACAAAACTACTGCAAAACACTCCCAGAGGGCAGTGACCTACTCTGCTCCCCAGAGGCTGCAAGAAGCAAGGCCTCAAGTGCCTCACGTTCCATGGGGCTGTGCAGCGCAATGCAGAAGGCGGAAATCCTGCTGTGACACCACCCTCGAGACCTTCTGCAGCCTGAGAGGCAGTGATACTCCCACACCCTTTGATCCTTCCAGATGGCTCAGCCTAGACCTAGCAGTGAGAGAGCCCTCTCCATGCAGGGCGGATGGAGTGGTGGACACTTGCAAAAACAAAACAGTCAATTCACTAACTGTTCCATCCTGTTATATTTGCAATGAGGAAAATTAAGATTCCTGTTTCATGGGCTGCACTGTTTCTGGAAGGCTACAGAAAATCTAACATGGTTGACACCTCCTGGTAGCCCTTCTGTCCTCCTACACACACACACACACACACACACACACATACACACACACACACACACATACACATATATATATACACACAGAGAGAGACAGAAGAGAGGAGAAAATCCTGGTCCAAAAGACCACATGACCTTACTAGTGTTTCCCCAATGATTGTAATTTATAAACTAAAAATTTTTTAAAATCCACTGCTATCTTTTTCTGTCCTGAGTTTGGTAGACTTTAATGGATGCTCTAGCAATAACCAGAATCTAGGACATGCAAATTCACTGTGAGCAAGAGGCTAGGGATCTGCCCTAAACATAGGAATCTGTTTCTACCAAGTCTGAATGAGGTCAGCACTGGTAGAATTAATGACAAATCAATATCAATGAAATATTCTGCAAACAGGGTAGTTTTTGTGCTTTCTTTTGATTCTTTTCTTTGGGGAGATAAAGGTATTGCAACCATGGGTCTAACTAATGTATCACTAAAGGACTGTGATGATATTCTCAGTAAAGACGGCCATCGTGTTTACAGTGCCAGGGAGGGAAAATCCCCGATCATCAGAATCCCAATGCAACAGAAAACAGCACCAGTTTCAACAATTCTGATGTTGGACAAAGCCTCTTTTTGTCAGTTAAGAAAGCATAAGCACAGTGTCTCAGTTAATTGCATTAACAGGAATCCATTCATGTCACTGAAAAATACTTGTTGGCACAGTTCACTTTCCTGACCCAAAGACACCAACAACAATCAAAACTGCCCTTTCAGGGTAGTATATTATTACACTAGCCCAGTCAAAACACACTCAGACCATTAACAAATGTATACATTACTGTTAGCACTGCAGGTCTGTTTTATTTTCTAATTTATTTATTGACACAGAGTCTCGATCTGTCACCTAGGCTGGAGTGCAGTGGCGTGATCTTGACTCACTGCAACCTCCGCCTCCCAGGAAGGTTTAAGTGATTCTCATGCCTCAGCCTCCCAAGTAGCTGGGATTACAGGCGTGCACCATCACGTCCAGCTAATTTTTGTATTTGAGTAGAGACAGGGTTTTGCCATGTTGGCCAGGCTGGTCTCAAACTCCTGTCCTCAAGCGACCCACCTGCCTTGGCCTCCCAAAGTGCTGGGATTACAGGTGTGAACCACTATGCCCGGCCCTGCAGTTCCTTTTTTTAAAGAGTATTGACTGTTTTCCTGCAAAGGACTTTCAAATCCATACCATAAAGGTAGTATTTATCTGGAAGAATGTGTTTCTTGAATTCCACTTAGCACTTGGTTAAATCTACTTTATTTTGCTCTTTATTTGAACAGAACTTTAGAATGCTCTAGGTCAGGATAAGAAACAGTGTGTTCGTTTTTAAGAAGGATATGTGAATAGGAAGTTGGCATTCAGACTCAAGTTCCACAGTGGTGTTCTTCTCCAATGGGACCTCTCCTTGGGGATATAATTCCTTTCCCAGAGGTATCATGGTATCCCAAGAATACAACTGCTCTTTGGCTCTGTGTTTCAAGATTGGGAGAGAGGATGTAAACTAAGAGTACACAGCAATTTTTTTTTTCTTTTTTGAGATGGAGTTTCACTCTTGTTGCCCAGGCAGGACGACAGTGGTGCAATCTCGGCTCACTGCAACCTCTGCCCCCCGGGTTCAAGCGATTATCTCGCCTCAGTCTCACAAGTAGCTAGGATTATAGGCGCCCACCACGCCCAGTTAATTTTTATATTTTTAGTAGAGACAGGGGTTTCACTATGTTGGCCAGGCTGGTCTCAAACCTCTGACCTCAGATGATCCGCCTGCCTTGGCCTCCCAAAGTGCTGGGATTACAGGTGTGAGCCACCATGCCTGGTGAGTAGACAACAAAATTTAAAGTTCACCAACTGATGTTCCCAAAAGTGCTGAACACTAAATGACACAGGCCTATGAGGTACATACATTTCTTTTAGTAGGAGGGAAAAGTAAAAGTTTTTCAAAGTTTGAGTGCTTTATTAGAATTTTTAAATAAGGAGAACTACGATTTTAATTTCACATCTTGGCTAAGGAGATGACACTGGGGTACAGAGATAATCTCTTGTTCTAAGCCAGGGATCAGTCAGTGTACTCCTCCCTATCCCTCAATCTCAAGACCCTCTTACTTCCGAACTAAACAACACAATTGGCAAATGAAGCCAGCACGAAACCTGTATCAAAAAACAACAAAACTCTGCAGTGAGCCAGTGTATTATGTAACCACTGTAATAAGTGATTATGTGGCTTCCCATATGGACCTTTCATATCCTGGTGGGAGATGGGAGACCAGTTTAATAGCTCTGAGCATGCTTCATGGTGCAATCACAAGTGTCGTGCCATTACAAAGACAAGCAAGCAGGTGAATTTCCCCAGTGTACTTTTCAGGAACACGGTTACCCAGTTCGGGGACGGGACTACATTGATGCACCTGCAAAGTACAGTTGGATGCTTCAGAGCACAAGGACAATATCCAGGTCAGCACGGTGTAAGGCATATACGGACACAAAGAGAGGTCGTTGTCGGTAATAAGTAGCATTACGGAAAAGATTCCAAACCAGCAGGACAGAAATGGTACCTGATGCTCCAGTTTTTTAGATAAGCAATCCCAAGAATCCAGTTCAAACCCTACTGTCAACATGTGGGGCAGAATTCAATTTCTATCATTGTTTTTACAGATCTGGGCTGAGACATTTGTTCCTAGCTTGGTTAAAAAAATAATAATAAAATAAAGGTTTCTTCCTGTTTCTTTCTTGGTATGGAAATACAGCTTAAAGAAGGAAAGGCCATGAGTCCTGGGAGCACTATGAAGGTAGCTAAACACTTCCCATACCTACAGTCAACGACTGGGAAATAGAGAGAGGACAGGGCAACCTGCCCAGCCACTAGCATCAAAAACGAAAAGGTATATTAATTGTGAGGCTCTCAATTCCAGAAATGCCCAAATTAAAAGAGAAAAAAATCTTGAAAAATTAAACAAATTTCTCTTTCTACAAGTCATTTATTTACATATTATATGTCCGATATATAATGTGTAGATAAATGTATCCTGCAGTGGAAGTGACCACTCTACTGAACTGTACAGCATATTATAGGACAAATTTTTGAAAGATTTCATCTTATACTGGTATCTTTTAATAAAAAAAAATTAAAAATCAAAGAAAACGTCTGGCCAGGGCTAGGATAAGACAAACAGGAACACTTCAGAATCCAAGGCAGGGGAAGGCTGTTGGCCTCTCTTCAGAGGACTGCAGGGGTAGGAAGAGGGAGGGACAGATCATGCACAAAAGTACTTACAAATTACACACCCAACCCCCACCCCACAATAAAAAGAGAAGAAAAAGCCCCATCAGTTAACACCAAACAGCAACATTATCAATACACCCTTTCTTTGCTGCCCACCATGCCTTATTTGAAAGAAGAGGCCTGTGAGGAGAAGTGGAAAGAGCCAGGGTGAGAGGGAAGATTTGCATTTCAGTCTAGTTTCCAATTTCCATTTCTCTTACAGGAAGTCTTCAGTCATCTGATGCCTGACATCGAGCTCTGAGCAGAAACCGAGTATGTGGTGGCCACGACTGGGGTGCCATTGTTGGCTGAGTAGCCTTGCCTCAATGTTTCAAAATATGATGCCTGCACGGGTTTGTGATACTGCAGCACTTTTATGGCATCTTCTATTTTAAACCATTCCCTCTTCCTTCCTGTGGAGGCAGAGAGAAAAGAAACTAGTACAAGAGCAATAAGGTTTCTGAGCCTAGAACTTTTGAGAAAATGTAGAAAACGTTAAAGCAATGTTTCTTAATACTTTTTTTCCTTACAAAAGTAACTCAAGCGCACTTCGTATGCTTCAAATATTATACAAATGTCTAATGTAGAAAATAGGCGAGAAACCTGAAAACTGAAGAGCTAAGAGTAATTGTGTAAAACCTGCCCTCCAGAGAGAACTATGGCTAGTGTTTTCCTCCTGCCCTCCTGGGTCTCTGAGCTTTCCTTGCTTGCACATACATAGGGATCAAAGCCCAGCAGCATCCCCATCTCTTGTAAAAAACTGACATGAGGGCCTGACGAGGTGGCTCATGCCTATAATCCCAGCACTTTGGGAGGCTAAGGTGGGCAGATCGCTTGAGCCCAGGAGTTTGAGACCAGCCTGAGCAACATGGCAAACTTGTCTCTACAAAAAATACAAAAATTAGCTGGGCATGGTGGCACAAGCCTGTAGTTCCAGCTACCCAGGAGGCTGAGGTGGGAGGATCACCCTAGCCCGGGAAGTTGAGGCTGCAGTGAGCTGTGATTGCGCCACTGCACTCCGGCAGGGTGACAGAGTGACACCCTGATCCAAGCAGGGGAAAAAAGAAAATCAACACAAACATCAGCTTCCAGAATTACTAGGATGGCTGGTTTGTAATCACTAATTTATTTAAAAGTTTTCTTTTAAGAGTGAATGTACTGACATAATAGAAAAAAAATTTTTACATATACATATATATATATATATATAGAGAGAGAGAGAGAGAGAGAGAGAGAGAGACGGAGTCCTGCTCTGTCGCCCAGGCTGGAGTGCAGTGGCCTCCCGGGTTCATGTCATTCTCCTGCCTCAGCCTCCCGAGTAGCTGGGACTGCAGGCGCTCGTCACCACTCCTGGCTAATTTTTTGTATTTTTAGTAGAAATGGGGTTTCACCATGTTAGCCAGGATGGTCTCGATCTCCTGACCTCGTGATTTGTCCACCTCGGCCTCCCAAAGTGCTGGGATTATAGGCGTGAGCCACCACCCCCAGCCAGAAAATATTTTTTAAAATAAGAAAAAACAATCTCAATACAATCACACTTTTATTTTTCAGTTTACTTTCTTACTCTTTTCTAGTCCACGCTTTAAAATCCTTTATATTTTTTCTCTTATAAAAGTAATAGGTACCCATAATTTTGTAAACCAGAGAAGACCACTCTCAATACCCTAGCACAATTGCCTTTTTTGCATATACTTGAAAAAGAAACAATCTTGAGATAACTAAAATTGGATCATGCTTTCAGGTGCTCCGAATCCTGACCAGCTCTGCTAGAGTGTTATGGTCAGGAACAAGGACTCTGAAGCCAAAGTGCTGGGCTCCAATCACATAAATGGCTCCAATGAGCTGTGCAGCCTCAGATAGCTGTGCTCCTGCTCCATTTTCCTCATCTATAAAACAGACAATAAATAGGGCCTATCTCACAAGTTTGTTGTGACGATTAGTATGCAAAGCACCTGAAGAGTACCTGGCTGCTAAAAGTATGTACTACTGAATTTGCTTTTTAATTTTTGTTACTGGTTCTTTTTTTCTTCACATTCTTTTTTCTTTTTTTTTCCCCAGAGATAGGATCTCAGGCTGGATTGCAGTGGTATGATCATAGTTCACTGCAAACTCAAGCTCCCAGACACGAGGAATCTTCCTGCCCTAGCCTTCCAAGTAGCTAGGACTACAGGCACACGCCACACCTGCTTCTTCTTCTTTTTTTTTTTTTTTGGTGTAAATGAGGTCTCAAATTCCTGGCCTCAAGTGATCCTCCTGCCTTAGCCTCCCAAAGTACTTGGAATTACAGGCATGAGCCACCACGCCTATCCTACGTCACACTGTTTCTTAAGCAATCTATGTTATGAAAAAAATATGACATTGCCTTGCTAGGAAGGTTAAGGCAGGACTGCTTGAGCCCAGGAGTTTGAGGCTGCAGTGGGCTGTGATCCACTGTACTCCAGTCTGGACAACAGAGTGAGACCCTGTCTTTTTTTGGTCAGACATTTATGGCTGCGTTATATCTTAATATCTAGAATGGATGTACTATCATTCATTTAACCATTTCCACATCACTGGACATCAATTGTCTGTGATTATTATTATTTTTGAGACAGAGTCTCAGTCTGTCACCCAGGCTGGAGTGCAGCAATGTGATCCTGGCTCACTGCAACCTCTGCCTCCCAGGCTCAAGCGATTCTCATGCCTCAGCCTCCCAAGTGGCTGGGATTACAGGCACCCACAACCATGCCCAGCTAATTTTTGTTTGTTTATTTATTGAGACGGAGTCTCACTCTGTCATGCAGGCTGGAGTGCAGTGGCATTAGCTCATTGCAATCTCTGCCTCCCGGGTTCAAGCAATTCTCCTGCCTCAGTCCCCAAGTAGCTGGGACTACAGGTGTACACAACCACGACCAGCTAATTTTTGTATTTTTAGTAGAGATGGGGTTTCAGTATGTTGGCCAGGCTGGTCTCAAACTCCTGACCTTAAGTGATTTGCCTGCCTCAGCCTTCCAAAGTGCTGGGATTACAGGCATGAGCCACCATGCCCAGTGATTTTAATTATTATAAATAATCCTGTTTTTAAAAAATGTTCCCCATTTTTTTTCTTTTTAACCATCTAGGGAAAGATATCTAGCACAAGGACTACAAAAATAGAGCTTTTGAACTTTCAAGGGCTCCTGATTTATACTGCAAAAGTGCTTTACAGAAAGGCGACACTGATCCCGAGTCCTGCTTGTGTCTGTCAGGATGTCAGTCTCACTACATCCCCGCCAATATTAGCTTTTCTTTAACATTGACTTTTTTTTTTTTTTTTTTTTGAGACAGTCTTTATCTGTTGCCCGAGCTGGAGTGCATTGGCATACTCTTGGCTCACTGCAACCCCCACCTCCCGGGTTCAAGCGATTCTCCTGCCTCAGCTTCCTGAGTAGCTGAAATTACAGGTGTGTGCCACCACGCCTGGCTAATTTTTGCATTTTCAGTAGAGACGGGGTTTCACCACATTGGCCAGGCTGGTCTCGAACTCCTGACCTCAAGTGATTTGCCTTTCTCAGCCTTCCAAAGTGCTGGGATTACAAGCGTGAGCCACTGCACCAGGTGGTGTTAAACTATGGTGTTTAACAGCTGTATAACATTCCATCAGACACATGTCATTCATTGATTTGTCATTCACTGAGTTACACATTTAAGATGCAATTTTTAACCGGTAAGAAAAATGGTAGTAAGATCATCTGAAGGAAGGCTCCATAGGCTTGTCATATTTTAGATTATTTCATTAGGGTCAATTATCAGAAGTGGGAGTACAAGGTGAAAGGTTTGTTTGAATATTAATAGAGCAACGGTACCTAAAAAAATTAGTATCCCAAGTGTGTGACTCCTGCCTGACAGAGTGCTCTGAGGATAGGGCCACACCACACATCCATTGCTGTCTCCTTTTCTGGCGCTAGCACAGCTGTCAGGGAGTCTGTTTTCAGCATATCCACAATGAATTTATTTCCTTGAGCACCCTGCATTATTACTAGATACAAAGCCATCAAGAGCCAAAGGGCTACGAACTGCCCAGAGTAACAATGTGAGGGGCATGGCAGCAAGGAAAACACTAACATTAAAGGGAGAATGTTGGCAAGTAAATTTTATCTGTCTGCCAATTTGTAACGGAAATTAGTGTTCTACTTTCTAGAATATACTTTCCTTCAGAGGTAAATAATCAAACCGTGAACCAACCTTTGCACCACCACAGTTTATAGTTCAAAAGATGTAAACATAATGGCCATCTGAGATAAAAGAAAATGACTCCTTTGGGAGAAAGCTGGGTGTACCTAAAGAGTGCACTCAGCACCCTTTTATAAAAGTTCATAAGCCGGGCGCGGCGGCTCACGCCTGTAATCCCAGCACTTTGGGAGGCGGAGGAGGGTGGATCACCTGAGGTTGGGAGTTTGAGACCAGCCTGACCAACACGGAGAAACCCCGTCTCCACTAAAAATACAAAATTGGCTGGGTGTGGTGGCACATGCCTATAATCCCAGCTACTAGGGAGGCTGAGGCAGGAGAATCGCTTGAACCTGGGAGGCGGAGGTTGCGGTGAGCCGTGATCGTGCCATTGCACTCCAGCCTGGGCAAACAAGAGTGAAACTCCGCCTTAAAAAAAAAAAAAAAAATTCATAAATTTTATCATTTTTATATTCATATAAAACATGAAAAATATAAAAATATATATTGTAGATATATAAGAATAAAACTAGAAACTACCTGCACTATTCTGCATCTACTAAATGATTTCTAGAGGGACTCACACTACCTAACAAACAATTTTCTCAATAGGAACAAGACCAGGGTCCTGCTCTCACTTACGGTCCCCACGGCCAGCAGTGAGCCTGGCATGGCGGAGGCCCTCAATCAGTATCTGCTCAGGAGGTGCAGAAGTATAGCCCGTTTGGGAAGGACTCAGTTTGATTTTAGAAGCAACATTTCTTATTTTTAGGGGTCATGCTTCTATTTGTGGACCATATACTCACTTCAGATTCCATTTAAACATTTCAAAATACTATCGGGTTCAAAATGTACATGCTTGTTTTATTATACACATCCCTCAATTATTTCTATTTTTTATCCAGTTCTTGTTTTTTGTTGTTGTTCGTTTTTGAGACAGTTTCACTCTGTTGCCTAGGCTGGAGTGCAGTGGCATGATTATGGCTCAATGTAACCTCAACCTCCCAAGCACAAATGATCTTCCTGCCTCAGCCTCCTGAGAAGCTGGGACCACAGGCATGTGCCAGCACACCCAGCTAATTCTTCTGATTTTTGTAGAGATGAGGTCTTACTAGGTTGCCCAGACTGGTCTTGAACTCCTGGGCTCAGGTGATCCTCCTGTGTTGGCCTTCCAAAGTATTGGGGTTATAGGTGTGAGCCACTGAGCCTGGTAAGCTCTTGTTTCTGGTTCTGGTAATGACCTGTGGCATGGCAAGGGCTGGTTGTGAGGAGCCCTTTCCAGGCTGTCTGAAGATGGCTTACCAATGTTAACTGAGTCTTCCCAGTCTTCCAGCACTTCAGTGACAATGAGCACATAGACATACGTCCTGTGCTTCCTCTCCTGGTTCTGAAGGGCAAAGAGAGAAGGACAGAGAGAGTTTTTCCTTAGAAAGCTGGAATTACTTAAATGAAACACACTCTTAAGCATTATGTCCGGAGAGCTTAGACACAAAGATTCTAAACTTTTACTTTTTATGGTCCTACATGATTTAAAACAGGCCACACTTGAATTTGAGGGTGTGCTCTTTGCCTGGACTTCTAAAACCAAGTATTTATATTGTTTTTTCCTCCCCTTCCCCTAAACACAACTTCACAGGAATGCTGTGACTCCTTAAGAAAAAGGCATCATGTAAATTTAGCTAGAACACCAGGGAAAGCACTGTCGATGGGTGGGCCACCACAGAGGTCTCAAACTTCAGTGACCCCAGCAAGGCAAACAAGCTGAGTGTGACACACACACACACACCCACCCCTTTTCCCACTAACCCCACTTACCTATTTTTTTGAGAGAGGGCCTTTGTCACCCAGAGTGGAGCGCAGCGGCATGATCATGGCTCACCGCAACCTTGACCTTCCTGAGCTTAGGTGATCTTCTCACCTCAGCTTCCTGAGTAGCTGGTACAGGCATGCACCACCATGCCTGGCTAATTTTTGCATTTTTAGTAGAGACAGCGTTTCACCATGTTGGCTAGGCTCGTCTCAAACTCCTGACCTCAAGTGATCTGCACGCCTAGGCCACCCAAAATGCTGGGATTACCTATGTGAGCCACCGTGCCCAGCCAATTTTTGTATTTTTTTTGTAGAGACAGGATTTCACCATGTTGCCCAGGCTAGTCTTAAACTCCTAGGCTCAAGCGATCCTCCCATTTTGGCCTCCCAAAATGCTGGGATTACAGGCATGAGCCACAGTGCCCAGCCACCTTTTAAAAAGTTTTATTTATTGCCGGGGCGATGGCTCATGCTTATAATCCCAGCACTTTGGGAGGCCAAGGTAGGCGGATCACCTGAGGTCAGGAGTTCCAGACCAACCTGGCCACCATGGTGAAACCCTGTCTCTACTAAAAATACAAAAATTGGCCAGATGTGGTGGCGGGCACTTGTAATCTCAGCTACTTGGGAGACTGAGGCAGGAGAATCGCTTGAACCTAGGAGGCAGAGGTTGTGGTGAGCCAAGATTGTGCCATTGCACTACAGCCTGGGTGACAGAGCAAGACTCTGTCTCAAAAAAAAAAAAAAAAATTATTTATTTACATAGCTATTTTTTCATTAGAGATCTTTCTTCTGATATTTTTATTTTTAAAACTTTTTGTAGAGATAGAGTCTCACTCTCTTGCTCAGGTTGGTCTTGAACTTCTACCCTCAAGAGATTGTTGTGCATCAGCTTCTCAAAATGCTGGGATTACAGGGGTGAGCCACCATGCCCAGCATCTGCTCATCTTTATTTCTCCTGATTTCTCACTTTTTTTCCTGCCTTGTTTCAAATTTGTATCACAGCTTATTTCCTTGTTTTTCCTCTCTTTGTTATTGTTATTTATCTTCTATTTTTCTTGTCTCGCTACACTCAGCTACCCTTCCTCCTACCTTGGTAGGAGAGGAAGAAAGGTAGGAATGGGGTAAAATAATACTTACAAATAATTCTAGTAGTTTAGGGGACAAGACTATGGGATTTCTTTCTTTCTTTTTGTTTTAAAGCATGTTATCCTCTGTTGGTGCTGCTTTCTTTAAAAAACTCACCGAGGTTGGGCACGGTGGCTCACACCTGTAATCCCAGCATTTTGGGAGGCTGAGGCAGGAGGACCGCTTAAGCGCAGGAGTTTGAGATCAACCTGGGCAACCTGGCAAGACCCTGTCTCTACAAAAAAATTTGAAAATTTAGAAGGCATGGTGGTGTGTTTCTGTAGTCTCACCTACTTGGGAGGCTGAAGCAGGAGATTGCTTGAACCCAGGAGTTCAAGGCTGCAGTGAGCTATGACTGTGGCACTGCACTCCAGCCTGGGCGACACAGTGAGACCTTGTCTCAAAAAGTTAAAAATAACTAAAAAAACCCAAAAACTCGCTGAAACAGAGATGGCATTTTTCCTATGTTAATATCTGTGTGGTTATTAATACATATCATTTGTACCAAAGATTTTAACAGACTTACCTCAAAAATTCCAACTAATCTTCCCAATGTCCCTTTTACTCCAGCCTGGAAAGTGAAAAGAATAATTAATGCACTGATAGTATTATATTGCTGGTCTCATTCTCAGTCTTCTTAAGCAGTTTATAAAATAGAAACAAAAAACAAGAGGACACAGCTTGGGCAGACTCACATCTGTGAAGTGATACCAGTGTTTCCTATGTGTCACAGACTGCTAACAGCAGTGTATGCTCTGGGAAGTCAGAATGCCTTTCATTTCTTCTGGTCTCTCTCCCTACTGCAAAGCTAGCTAAACCTAGCAAGATAATCAAGGCCATGAAGCCACCATACCAAAAATATTTTGAGGGATTGATTACTTCAGGTCAGGCACTGCCACTGTGGAAGGCTGAATTGGGAGGATCACTTGAGGATAAAAGTTCAAGATCCACTTGGGCAACATAGTGAGACCCTGCCTCTAAAAATTTGTTTTCAAATTAGCCAGTCATGGCAGCATGTGGCTACAGTCCCAGCTACTGGGGAGGCTGAGGTGAGAGGATCACCTGAGCCCAGGAGTTCAAGGTTGCAATGAGCTATGACTACACCACTGCACTCCAGCCTGGGTGACAAAGTGAGACCATGTCTCAAAATTAATTAATTAATTAATTGGTCAGGTACTACGGCTCACGCCTGTAATGCCAGCACTTTGGGAAACTGAGGCGGGTGGATCACTTAAGCTCAGGAGCTCAAGACTAGGCTGGGCAACATAGTGAAACCCTGTCTCCACAAAAAATACAAAAATTAGCTGGGTGTGATGGTGCACAGCTGTAGTCCCAGCTACTCGGGAGGCTGAGGTGGGAGGGTTGTTGGGTCCAGGAGGTGGAGGTTGCAGTGAGCCGAGATCACACCACTGCACTCCAGCCTGGGTGACAGAGCCAGACCTTGTCTCTAAATACATACATACACACACAGATTACTTCATTCACTTATTAATTCAACAAATATATACTAAATGCCTAATTTGAACCAGAAAACAGTGTATGTGCCAGAGGTATAACAATGAATCAGCTAGAATGCAAGATCCCATAAGATTAAGACCCCCTTTCTTCGGTCCGTAGGTCCAAAATGACAAAGAAAAGAAGGAACAACGGTCGTGCCAAAAAGGGCCGCGGCCATGTGCAGCCTATTCGCTGCACTAACTGTGCCCGATGTGTGCCCAAGGACAAGGCCATTAAGAAATTCGTCATTCGAAACATAGTGGAGGCCGCAGCAGTCAGGGACATTTCTGAAGCGAGCGTCTTTGATGCCTATGTGCTTCCCAAGCTGTATGTGAAGCTGCATTACTGTGTGAGTTGTGCAATTCACAGCAAAGTAGTCAGGAATCGATCTCGTGAAGCCCGCAAGGACCGAACACCCCCTCCCCGATTTAGACCTGCGGGTGCTGCCCCACGTCCCCCACCAAAGCCCATGTAAGGAGCTGAGTCCTTAAAGACTGAGACAGACTATTCTCTGGAGAAAAATAAAATGGAAATTGTACTTAAAAAAAAAAAAAAAAAAAAGATTAAGACCCTTGTCTGACTTGGCTGTCCATATACAATATGCTGGAAGAGAGTTCAGCACCCTGCAAGAACTCAGGAAAGCCTAGATCAACAAGAACATAAACATGGTAATTCTGCTATGGGTAAGTATCATGACAGAAATACACAGAGTGATGTGATGACAAGAAGTGGCAGGGAGAGGGGCAACTTCAGTGGTCAGACCTTTTTTTTGAGTGGGGGGATGAAGTCTCACTCTGTCACCCAGGCTGGAGTGCAATGGTGCAATCTTGGCTCACTGCAACCTCCGCCTCCCAGGTTCAAGCGATTCTCCTGCCTCAGCCTCCCAAGTAGCTGAGACTACAGGTGCCCGCCACCACGCCAGGCTAATTTATTTTTTATTTATTTATTTTTTTTTGAGACGGAGTCTCGCTCTGTCGCCCAGGCTGGAGTGCAGTGGCCGGATCTCAGCTCACTGCAAGCTCCGCCTCCCGGGTTCGGGCCATTCTCCTGTCTCAGCCTCCTGAGTAGCTGGGACTACAGGCGCCCGCCACCTCGCCCGGCTAGTTTTTTGTATTTTGTAGTAGAGACGGGGTTTCACCGTGTTAGCCAGGATGGTCTCGATCTCCTGACCTAGTGATCCGCCCGTCTCGGCCTCCCAAAGTGCTGGGATTACAGGCTTGAGCCACCGCGCCCGGCCCAGGCTAATTTATTTTTATTTTTATTTTGTATTTTGAGGAGAGATGGGGTTTCACTATGTTGGCCAGGCTGGTCTCGAACTCCTGACCTTGTGATCCACCCACCTCAGCCTCCCAAAGAGATGGGATTACAGGCGTGAGCCACCATGCCCGGCCTAGGCCTTCTTAATATATACTTTTGTTTTTTTCTTTTCCTTTTCTGAGACAGAGTCTCACTCTGTCACCCAGGCTGCAGTGCTGTGGTGCAATCTTGGCTCACTGCAACCTCTGCTTCCCGGGTTCAAGCAATTCCACCACCTCAGCCTCCCAAGTAGCTGGGACTACAAGTGTGTGCCACCAAGCCCAGCTAATTTTTCTATTTTTGGTAGAGACAGGGTTTCACCATGTTGGCCAGGCTGGTCTTGAACTCCTGACCTCAGGTGATCCACCCGCCTCACCATCTCAAGTAGCTGGGACTACAGTCGTATGCCACCACACCCAGCTAATCAAACAAATTTTTTTTTTGTAGAGACAAGATCTTGTTGTGTTGCCCAGGCTAGTCTCAAACTCCTAGCCTCAAGTAATCTACCCACTATGACCTCCCAAAGTACGGGAATAACAGTTGTGAGCCACTGTACCTGGCCTGGATGACATATTTTGAAATTAATTTTTGCTAATTATCTGTCAATGAACTCTGTTCTTTTCTCTTGCCAACATGTCTGCTTTCTCTACCATTTTATATTCATTTACCCACGTGGCTTTTGGTCTACTTGAATGGAAATGTCTGCCTTTCTTAAATAAGAAAATAGTAAGTTGCTTCTCTCTATTTTTAGAAATAACTGCCCTCCACAGTCAGCTAAAACTAGCTAGCTTATACTTCATGAATTAACCAATGAAGCTGCCTGACAAGTGGGACAAGCTGCCAGGCCAGCCTGAGTTGGAAAGCCATTTCTGTACTCTGATCCCAGGCAGCCTGAACACACTCCGCTCATCTCCTGAGACATGTCACCTGTGCTCCTGCCACAAGCCTCCACTGAGGGTCTGGGAGGAGAGCTGTTGGGGCAGATGAGGGCCTTGGGGGACAGAGGTAAGAAAAAAAAAATTTTTTTTTTTTAAAACTCTTGTCGCCCAGGCTGGAGTGCAGTGGTGCGATCTCGGCTCACTACAACCTCTGTCTCCCAGGTTCAAGCAGTTCTCTTGCCTCAGCCTCCCAAGTAGCTGGGACTACAGGTGCATTACAGGTGCACACCACCACACCCAGCTAATTAAAAAATATATATTTTTAGTAGAGACAGGGTTTCACCATATTGGCTAGGCTGGCCTTGAACTCCTGGCCTCATGATCTGCCCGCCTCGGCCTCCCAAAGTGCTGGGATTACAGGCGTGAGCCACTGCACCCGGCCCGAGAAAAGATTTAAGAGGCCATCATTCACCTTTCTCCTCCGCAAAGGAGAGAGAAAGAGAGAGAGAAAGCATTCTCTTTAGCAGCTACTATCCAATTATTTTTTTCTTAAAGAAACTAGAAGTTTATAAAACAATCTCCAAATTTTTAGGGCACATATCAACTTAATATTATGACAACTCAATATAATTCATTTAAAACCTTTGTTTGGCTGGGCACAGTGGCTCAAGCCTATAATCCCAGCACTTTGGGAGGCCGAAACAGGTGGACTGCTTGAGACCAATAGTTCGAGACCAGCCTGAGCAATAAGGTGAAACCCCATCTCTACAAAATACAAAAAATTAGCTGGGCATGGTGGCACATGCCTATAGTCCCAGCTACTCAGGAGGCTGAAGTGGGAGGATCACCCAAGTCCAGAAAGTCAAGGCTCCAGTGAGCCACGATCGCACCACTGCACTCCAGCCTGGGCAACAGAGACACCTTGTCTCAAAAAAAACAAAACAAAATAACTTCAAAACACAAAACTTTCGTTTAGTAATAGTACCTCTGCATTTGACACCAACATGTGTCTATGATTCACTCTGTGTCAGATGCAGTTAAGAAAAATGTAGCCAGGCGCGGCGGCTCAAGCCTGTAATCCCAGCACTTTGGGAGGCCAAGACGGGCGGATCACAAGGTCAGGAGATCGAGACCATCCTGGCTAACATGGTGAAACCCCGTCTCTACAAAAAAATACAAAAAACTAGCCGGGCGAGGTGGTGGGCGCCTGTAGTGCCAGCTACTCGGGAGGCTGACGCAGGAGAATGGCTAAACCCGGGAGGCGGAGGCTTGCAGTGAGCTGAGATCCGGCCACTGCGCGCCAGCCTGGGTGACAGAGCGAACCTCCGTCTCAAAAAAAAAAAAAGAAAAATGTAAAAGTACCTATCTGAAATAGACACAAATGTGTAAAATCTAGTGTAAGTCAAATTATGCTGCCATTTATGCACCAACATTTCAGTGGTATTTTTCACTTCCAATTAGTCTTCCAACTTGTAGAATGTAGAAAGTAATGATACTTGTTTGTTTAAAGAGGTGGTGTCTATGTTGCCCAGGCTGGCCTCAAACTCCTGGGATCAAGCAATTATCCTGCCTCAGCCTCCTGAGTAGTTGGGATTACAGATACATGCTACCACACAGGGCTAAAGATATTTTTTATTTGTCCCTTAGCCTTTCTTTCATAGTATTTATGGGATCTAATTAGCAAAATCTATTTAATGTGATCTTACCAATAATTCTATACCATAAAGCAAATAAATATTTCCCTATTTACCAATTTTAGATATTGGAATTCAGCATTTTTCTCAGCAAGAGGTTCCCCCTTTAGTAAAAGGATTTCAGTTCTTTAAGGTCATAGTGCTGACAAAAAAGAAAAATTTCTCACAGGCAAAGGTTCTCCCAGTTTACCTTAGCTATCTTACTT